TCTCATCCATGGAATCCTTCCCAAACTACATTGCAGGATGCTGACAAATTTGTTTTGGTAAACTGGTCACTGAAACTCCCAGTAACGCACAAAGGATTTTATACCGGAATAACAGAGGCAAGGCAGGAGGGCTGGACCTCCAAGCAGAAGCCAGAGGGAGATACTTTCATTGGGAATCCTGAACCAGGATACAGAGATCTCAAGGACCTCTCCCAATTTTAGGGCCACAAGATCCAGGTCAACACAAATGTGCCCCTCGAAATCCGAATGTGCAAGTCGCCTGCCTGACTGCAAACTTAAGAAGTGAAGAAGCTTCTTGGATGAGAAGCGAAATGTCTTCATGGAAAAACAAAGTCCAGTTGCCTTTTGGAAAAAGCGTCGTTGGGACAACCATGACCTGGATGACGGAATCTCCAGACACAAACTTAAGCGGGTCCAGGGTAGGGCAGGCCTTTGTTCTTTTGACACTCCACCTCAGGGGTCCTAACTGGGAACCTGGCAATCAAACCACTGTCTCCAGTTGGACCTTCTGGACAAGCACAAGGGATTCCAGGAGTTGAAGTTCACCCATCTTCAAGTTCATTAGCATTCACTGGCTGGGGAAGTCTAGGAGGGAAGTCCATCCTTCTTCAAGAAGCCCAGGTTGAGAAATACTGAACAGAAGCCCACACAAGCATGCAGGACAAGCAGAAAAAAAACACACTTTTTTTAACAAGATTGATTTATTAACTATGATACATATCACATAAGGCCTTTAAGTTTTTACACCATTCCCATTGAGACACATACAATACTCTGTAGCAAATAACATGATTTTTTTTCCTGTTTAAATTCAGCAAAAAAGGGGGCTTTTCGTTGTTTGCCCAGAGATTTCAACAATTTCATGCACTAATTGGATGGGCTGAGGGGGGAGTGGGGGAAGAGAAAGAACCACAAAGAGTTAAAAACGTCCTTAATAGAAGCATAAAAAGGAAATATAGTCTATCACCAATAACTAAAGGATGTAGTTAGGCTCCTAAAAATACAGAGAAATAACCATTATACTTTTTTTTTTCCTTTTTTTTCTTTTTACATACAGGTCTTTTCGGTAATTTTTGCTTGCTTTTTCTGAAGAGTGTTTTGGGCACAGGTTTAGCTGGAACTACTACCACGTTTTATCACCATTCATCATTGTCTTCTTCAATTAAAATGTTAATCCAACATATATAGAGATAATTTTACAATGTGGAAATACAAGTACCAGGAAAAAAAAAAAAACGAAACCAAGCAAAACAAAAAGCAGAGGGCAGAACTAAACCCAACTTTTCCAAAGTTTTATTTCCATACAACTTGAGAAATGGATGTGGCTTTTTCTTTTTTTTTTTAATATACACAGGAAAAAAATTAAGATTATTTTAAACAATAACTTATGCCCTGCTTTAAACTACATTTAGAATACAATATTTCTATTGTATTTCCATTTTACTGAACGGGGAGGGAGGGGATTTAACGTAACAGTTAGACTAGGACCTATCGAGAGGGGGCAGCGAGGGGCAATGTACCCCACAACGGGACCGCTAAAGAATACTGACCGGATGAGCTGAAGACAAACTGACCTTCCGCGTTAGGGGAAGCCACCGGCTGGTTAGAGAACAAACGAAGGGCGGAACCAAAGCCAGAAGTGAATCCCCTTCTAGGAAAATTAAAAGAAAAGCTAAGCCAGACTTTGAACGCCACTGCTAAGTCACCGAAGGACAAACGATCCAGATGAGCAATTCAGAACTTTACTTTGAGACGAGGCTTTAAAAATGTACGCCAGCCCCAGACTCTGCGTGGGGGCGACCGAACGGGAGGCTCCCAGGAACCAGAGCTGGAGAGCCTCAAAATGCCTCTGGTTTTTCACTGGGAAGGGGGAAACTGGGAGGGAGGGGTCTTAATATGAAAAGGAGAGCCACCAACCTGCTGGGCCTCTGGCTGCCCAGCAGTGCGCTGGAAGGGAGCAAGGCCGCAGTGGCGGGGCATGTCCACAAAAGCCCACGGGGAATTGTCCAGCGCGCACGACGGGATGCACAAACGCTGCCGCTGTCTCGATGGCGGGAGATGGAAAAGCCGCCCCTTGGTGACCCGTCGTGTGGACTGGGGAAAATCCACTGGACGATGAACGGGCATCGCCTCCAGCATGTGCAAAGGGACGGGGGCTGCTCAAGAGATGTGCTGCCAAAAAAAAAAAAAAAGGCCCAGGAAATCCAAAAGGTAGGTAGGTTGTTTGGAGGCACCTGGCCCAGTTGAAGGGCCACCCAATGCCAACTGGTCCCAGAAGAGGGAATGGCGACGGGCGAGGGACGCCACTGCAACTCTGCAGGGATGCTCCGATCTTGGTTGAGAGGCCTGGAAAACTTGACCCCCTCCCTGATCTTAAGGCCAGCGACAGAGGCCACAAGCTGACCCGTGCAGGGCACTCTCTGGCTCTTTCTCCCTCCTGCAACTCAAGCTCTGGGTCTCCCAGGCTGGGGGCCGAAGCCAGGGGACTCGGGGCAAGCCCTGTCCCCACGGCCCAGCTAGAGGCTGAACACGAGATTAAGGGAGGCTGCCCTCCCCAACTGCAGGAGTTGCTAGCAATTGTTAAGGGAGATTTTTAGCACACTCACAAAGAAGGCACAGCGGCACTCAACGCGTGCTGAACAGAAGCCCCGTCCCAGGTGGGAAACGGCGCCCCACACCAACCCCCCACTTGGGTCAACAGCCCAAAGACTGCAGCTCAGGTGAGATTTCAATTTATTTTTTTCCCACCCAGGAAAAAAAGGTCAGAAGGGAATTTTTCCAGCCTTCTCGGCCTCCTTCCTACAAGCTTTCGGTTCCACCCACCCACCCAGCCTGTTTGTGTGTTCGTTTCACATGGCGCATGCATAATGGAGGGGAGGGGGGCTGATGCCACGTTCCTTGTCAGAGTGGAAAACAAACCCTTTCTATTATTTACACAAACGGCGGTGAGAGTTATAAAAAACGAGGGAGGAATGCTTGCAAAGAGGGGCTTTCAAAGCACACGATTCTGACACAGATACAACTTTTAAATGTGGTTCTAAAATAAGGAGTACATAATTCAGCTTATTTATAAGAGAGAGAGAGAAAGAGAGAGAGAGAGAGAGATTGCGGAAGAGGAGGAGGGGGAAGGGGGGGCTCTGGATACCAGGAAGCAGAATGGAAGTGGAAGAGAAGTTTGGGGGGGGGGGTGGGGGGTAGGGTGGGAGAAGGACCGGAATTTCACTCCCACCCAATGAATGTAACACAAATATCCTTGAAAGGCTTAAAAACAGCAATAAACCACAGGTTTCATTTTAAAGTGCGAAAAGATGGTGAGGATGGCATAGGGGTCGCTCCCCTGTCCTCCCAGTGGTACCGTGGAAAGTCCAGTTCAAACTGCCCTGTTGATGAGAATTTACCCCACGCTCCCTCTCGCACGCTCACACACACACACACACACACACACAGAGACACAAACAGGGCAGTTTACCAGGCACTGCTGATACACAATCCCCTTCACGTACCCGGTGCAGAAACCCTGACCGGTTCCCCAACCAGGGAGCTGGCAGGGGCGAGGAGGGGGAGGCCCCAGGGGGAAGGGCTGACGGGACCCGCCGAAGGCTTCCAGGGCGAGGGAGAAGATGCCCCAGGAAGGGGATGGCGCTGAAGGGGGCGCAGGGGCTCTGCTCAGGGCTTTGGCGCCTTTCCCATCGGCCTCGCTTTCCCCCTGCAGGGCTGCCGTCTTCCCGGCGGGGCAGTGAAGCCTGGGCTGCCCCAAGGAGCTGGCTCAGAGCCCCCCCCCGCAGCCCAGTGGCACCGAAGCAGCCAGAAACAAGCCCTTGGTGTCCCCCCCCCTCCAACCCTCTTGTTGCCCCTCTTTTTTCCAGTCTCCTCTGAGAGACTCAAGCAAAGCAGCCTTTTCCCAATTTCTAGTGGGTGAAAGGAAGGGAGGTTTGCAGGCTCGCTCTGCTCTCTCTTTGCTAGCAATGCTTCCCCCCCCCCATCACCTCTTCTCCCCACTTGCTTCCCACCAGGCACACACACGCACGCACACACACCACAACGAACAACAGTGTTTCTGTCAACGTAGTGTTCCCAAGGAGTCCAACCCCAGGCCCGACAGCAAAACCCGCAATCTTTTTTGCCAGTGGACGTGAGCCTTCCCTCCTCTCCCCTCTTTCTCTCCTCTGCTAAGTGCTAACACCCATATCCTTCGAGGGCAGGCGAGGGAGGGAGGGAGGGAGGGGGGAGGCAGGGAGGGAGGGGGGGAAAAGAAGGGGGTGAGAGGGATGCCATGATTTGTCGTAGGGGGACAGCACAGCCAGCAGGGCGGCCCTGCGGCGTCACTGCCCGGGAAACTCTGCCAGCCACGAACGCTCCGGACTCCTCTTCCTCCCGTTTCCGAGACTTTTGGGGTCAAGAGGACGTGACATTCCAGCCTTTGCTTGACTTGAGTGGATCCAGCTTGTCTGGGCTACTACTGGGGATGGGCTAAATTGGTCTGAAGGAAAGGGACGGTCCCCCGACCGAGGTGAGATGTCCAGCACTGCAGGATAGGCCTCCATTGTTCCTGGAATGTGCTTGGGGGGAGGGGGGAGGGAAGGAGCCCCCCTCTTGCTTCACAGTCCTCTCTGTCCACGCACGGATTGAGGTCGAGGAGGGGCGGGTCCAACACCCCGACTGGGCTTAAACCTGCCTCGCTTGCTTGGGTCCGAGTCGATCCTGATGGAATGGACGCTGCCTGGGAAAGGGATCCAGACTCTCCAACCGCGTCCTCCCGCATGTAGCCCCGGGGTGCCCTCCTGTGCCAGCCCTGAGGCCGAGCAAGGCTGCAGAGGGGGGGTCCAAGGCGCCAGCCCGCCGTTGCTCAGCCCAACACAAGTCTGGAGCCCAACAGCGGAGGCGAGGGCGGGCCAACGGACGCCAGGGAGGATCCGCTTCCCGCTCTCGTCCTCTGCGTCGTCGGAACGGAGGCCTTTCTTCCTGACCCGGCCCGCTGTTCACAGTGTGTGCTGCTCGGCCTGGAGCTGCGGCGGGAGCAGGGCCTGCAGGGGCGACTGGGGTGAGGGGGGCGGCGTCTGGGGCGGGGAGGGCTGGGCCATCACGGGCGTGGAGGAGAGGAACGGGGCGCAGACGGGGAGGGCCGAGGGGGAGTTGGGGGTGGCGCCGGGGAGCTCGGTGATGGGCCGGCTGTAGAAGAAGAAAGCGCACTGCTGGATGAAGAGTTCGATGATTGTCTGGTAGATGCGGGTGGCGGTCAGGGCGTCCATGGTGCTGAAGTCAGGTCGCATCAGGGTGGGCCAGAAGCAGATGGAGAGGTTCTCACTGGTCATCAGGTTGGTGCGGTTGTTGTGGCTCACTCTGCAAGGACAAAGGGGGAGGGGGTCAGGCACGGGAGGCAAGGGCCGCCCCCCACCCCTCCCAGAGGCACCTGCGGCTTTCCCACAGCTCCCCGGCCTGTGGGCATGATGAGCTGGGAATGGGGGATCCAAAACACAGGTGGTCTTCGACCTACGACCATTTAGTGACCAGTCAGAGTTACAACGGCATTTCTCGCACAACCGCTGCAGCCTCCCCGTGGTCATGTGATCAAAATTCAGACCCTTGGCAACGGACTCGTGTTTACGATGGTCTCTGTGTCCCGGGGGGGATCACGTGATCCCCTTTTGCGACCTTCTGATAAGCAAAGCCAGGGGGAAAACCGGATTCACTTAACGACCGCGTCACTCACTTCACAACTGCAGGGATTCCCTTAACAACTGTGGCAAGAAGGGTGGCAAAACGGGGCAAAACTCACTTGGCAACTGCCTCGCTTAGCAACAGAAACGGGCTCAATTGTGGTTGTAAGTCAAGGACTATCTGTAGGGGGCTACCCCTGAGAAGCATCCAGAAGCTTCACATGGTTCGAGCTGCTTTTGTGCAGCTGCAGGAGTTCTCCTCTGCCGATTTGCTGTCGGGGGCAACTCAAGGCAGTGAGGTGACTCTCAGGTGTGAAGCCCTACAACGGGCCGGGTTACCTGAAGGGCCGCCTTTCCCCATGTACATGTACCTGAACCCCCAGTATGGGGAGGAAAGGAATGTTAGGGTAGGGAGGGGCTGTAGGGATATCCCCCCCTCCACCGGTGTCAGTGAAGCTGGCCCTGAAGGCCTGGTGGTGGTTTTGGGGATGGTGAACCGGAGAAGGAAGAGCACAGACTGGGTCTCTCTCGGGAGCCAATGCCCGACATCCACGCCGGAGAAAACCGGGGAGGTTCTAGACCTCACCAAAAAAAAATTGCCCCCCAGGGGCTGCTGATAACCTCATGATAATTATTAACCTGGTGATGATCATCTTCTGATAACTGGGAGAGCACAATCTATCGAAGGGGATAAATTTGAGAACGCCCCCTTGCTTGACTGGGAGAAATGTCGGGGAACGGATTCGCCCTGGGAAGGCCCTGCTGACCCAGCAGAGGACATGACACCCCCCCCCCCCGTGTTTCATTTTGAGGCATCACATCCGGGGGCCATGGAGCGGCCGACGGCTCCAGCTCATCTCAGAAGGTTGCACTTACTTGTTCAAATGAGAGATCACATATCTGAAGACCTCGTGGTTCTCCTTGGGGAATTTCTTCAGGACCTCTTTAAGGGCGTGCAGCTTCTGCTCCCGGTCGTTAATCTCTGTGGAAGTGGAGAAATGGGAAAAGATTTCTTTTCGAGGAGCAGTGGAGGTTCGCCAGCTGAGAAACTGCAGCCATCAGCAGGTCCTGCTTAAGGGATAAACCAGCCTGCCCCCCTCCCACCCCTGGATTAGCTGAGGCCGCCCTTACAAAGTTGTCCTACGGCAGAGGACAGGCTAAGGCAGCCAGCTATGAATACAAAAGTCTTACAAACGACAATCAAAACCTCCGAGAATGTTATTCAGCCAGGTGAATCGTCTGTCAAACGTGGCTTATATGAAAAACACAAGGAATACGTGGCAATTAAAATTAATTTCCTTCCCCCCCCCAAAAAAAATTACTATAAAAAGTACCAGATACTACAAACCTACACACATTGGGCAATTCTCTCTGCATTTTGCTTCCCCAAATTCCAAGAATCATAGAACTTCAAACTGCTGGCAGAACTGAACTAGCAAGAAGCTGGGCGCTCCTAGTTAAAAGCCTCGTATTTTATGAAATCAGCTCTATATCTCAAGCTTCCTCCTTCCGTTATATATTCAAGATGGACAGTATTTAATATTTATTTGCTACGTATATGTAGGGATGTGGATCTATATATATGTTGTTCATAGTATGTTTAGGTGTGCGTCATGTAGCTGTTTCACTTTGAGAGCGGGCAACTAAATTTCATTTTTGATGTGTGCCGTTGTGCCCACAGTAAAAAAATGACATTATCTTATCTTATCTTATCTTAAATCAGGAAGGGGAAAATGGCTTTTCAGCAGCACTTGGAATAATCAACCCTTCCCAAGTGCTCACAGAAAGGCCCAGGTGTGATGCTTTGGGAGTTAGACACAAAGCCAGCCGGGTGATCCTGGGCCAGTCATTTTCTCTCAGCCCTAAAAAGGAGGCAATGGCAAGCCACTTCTGAAAAACCTTGCCAAGAAAATTGCAGGCAGTCTCCAGAATCAGACACGATTGAACGGAAGAAACCACAAACACACACATACACACCCACAGCCTTGCTTAGCAGCCAAGCATTAGTACATAAGCATTTATACTTTTATTTACCAGGTCTTTTTCACCCTGTTAATTAGTTTTAATCGTTAGGTTCCTTAGCCGTTTCTTATCTGCACTGATAGCACGAGGGCCAATTCTTTCACTTATCACATCTGCCGCTTTTTAATTTGTGCTCACCAACACCTTAGAATAATAGCCCAAGATGCTGATGGCAATAAAGTTAAACCAGACCTTCTCAAATTTTTGCTTGAAAGGGTTACATTAAAGGCGTCTGTGGCAGCCACAATTAATATTACCGGAGGCTGTCTGCGGAGGAAGCCAGCTCCTTCGTCAACAGCAGTCTTTGCCTCTGGTTCTGCAGCTTTTAAAAAGGGCACCGACGTCACGAGGGCGAATCAAGCCAGCGGAGAGGACGGCGTTCTGATTTTTTATTGCAAAAAGTATCTTTTAGAGCAACTAAAGGAAAGCATCGTTTGTCAGAGGTACCTCCGAGACAGCTTCTAAAGCAGAGACGCCAAACGCCATTTGGACAGACCACGCCGTTAAATATTTAAAGAGCTCTCCGCGCCGCTCTGATCTCCGACAATTTTAAGTGCCTCTGCAGTGAAATTCAGGATTGTCAACAGCAGCATTGCTGGCTCCAAAAAAAGAGATCTGTTTGGACTTCGGCACGGCTTGAAAACAGAACAGAGGCTTCCCAAAACAGTCCCCAGGCCAGGGATTCTCAATCTGGGCTTCTTTAAGATGGGTGGACTTCAACTCCCAGAATTCCCCAGCCAGCCTAGCTGGCTGGGGAATTCTGGGAGTTGAAGTCCACCCATCTTAAAGAAGCCCAGATTGAGAATCACTGCAGTAGACAAAGCTCAGCTAAATTTGGACACTGAATCTCTTCATCAGTTTCGAAAAGGGGGTGTGATGTGAAAGAACCCCCCGAAAAAGCCCTTTTTACTGCCTCAAACCTAGCAAAACAGTGTTGGAAGCTTTTCCATACATTTTAGAAACTGGTATTCACTGGCTATTAATTAGCCCCCGTTTAAAACAATCCGGGGGCGCTGTTGGGATACAAATTTTATTTTGTGTAATTCTGTGATCAGTGGAAACGGCAGCATTTACACACACACCCCGCTTAAAGAAAACCAAAGTAAACAGAGATATGGGGGTCTGATTGAAGGAAATATCCCAGGGCGGCAGATCCCGATGGATATTTCTCCTGTCTCAAAGCTGGCTGTGTACAAAAATCAGGAAAGTGACTAGCATATTCTGTCTTTCTCTAATCTTATTTTAAACCACCATACACGGTTAAAATAATCACGGTTAAAAACGAAGAGACCAGCAACCACAGAAGAAACTAATATCCAACAGTGGATAAAATTAGAAAGCCAAGCTACCAAAACGAATTGAAATCCAAATCAATTAATTTAAAAATAAAAAACGAGAGAAGGTAAAGACTTCGGTCTTCCTCTCCGATTTCACTGTGAGGGAAGCTGGGAACAACTCAGTGAAAGAATTGCTACGGACTGAGCCAGGCTGCGGACAAATATGCCTGTGAAAAGATTTTGTCCTTTGTCTTCGGCTCCTTGAGATACAGTTCAAAGGCAACTAATTTTATCTTGCTATATTTAAAATATGGCAACTGGCCTCGCAGGCCGATGGCAGCACAGCCACTTCATCCAGGCAGCAGCAGCCACGAGGCACCGTTCCTGCCCTATTTTTTTTTCCTGCCACGACCCAAGAGGGCCTTACAGGACCTGCTTCCAGATGTGCCAAAATAGCCTGGCAGGACTTCTGAAGAAGTCATCTTAGGGAGATCATGTTTTGGGCAGAAAAGAACTTTGGCCCTGGTTTCAGTTAGGTAGAAATGTATGACTGGCCCGAGTCGATTTAGAACATAGAATGTGGAATAATAGAACTGAAAGGGAGCCTGGAGGTCTTCTAGTCCAACCCCTTGCTTGAGCAGGAGACCCTAGGCCAAGGGTGTCCAATCTTGGAGCTCTAAGACTTGTGGACTTCAACTCCCAGAATTCCCCAACCAACCATGCTGGCTGTCCAATCTTTTCTTGAAAACCTCCAGTGATGGAGCACCCAAAACTTCTGGTGGCAAGCCGTTCCACTGGTTAATTGTCCTCACTGCCAGGAAATTTCTTCTTAGTTCCAAGTTGATTTAATTTCTATCCCTTGTTTCTTGTCCTGCCCCCTCTGGTGCTTTGGGAAACAAGTCGACCCCCTGTTCTCTGTGACAGCCCCTCAAATATTGGAAGATGCTATCGTGTCAGCCCTAGTTCTTCTTTTCATTTGAGGGGTTTTATTAGTCATTTCTTCATTTCCAAGAAGTAGTCTAGGGCAGTGATGGCGAACCTTTTAGAGACCGAGTGCCCAAATTGCAACCCAAAACCCACTTATGCCTCGTCGGGTGCCGGGTGGGTGTGGCCCATTGGCTGGGTGTGGCCCATTGGGTGGGCGTGGCTGCGGTGGTAACGGCAGACTGGGTGGGACTAAAAAGTTCAATCAATCAATTCCAACTTCGCGAGATCTTTTTTTTACCTGCAAGAAGTTGAAATTGATTGACTGATTGAACCTTTTTTTTTTTTTGCACACGGCAGCAGAGGCCTAAAGCGAAAAGGTTTTATAAAACCCAGCTGAAGGCCTAGGACTGGGGCGAGGGCGCGCGCGCCCACAGGGAGGGCTCTGAGTGCCCCCTCTGGCACCCGTGCCATAGGTTCGCCACCGATGGTCTAGGGAATTTCTCTGGCTTCGATTTCATGGGTCTCCAACTCTACAGCCTAAAACTCTGCCTTCTTCCTCCATTAGACAGACCGTCGTTCCCTACCAGAAAACCTTCTCTGCTGAAGCTTGTGCTGAAGTCATTTGAGTGGATTAACGAAGATAATAAATAAAACAAGGAAAGCCTAAAGATGCTGCTTCAGCAGCCCACCTGCAAGGAGACTCTTTTCTATTCTGCTTTCGTTTCTAACTCTAGGTGGAGCCACCGAATCCCATCATTCTATGGCAACAACACTGCCGGACACGCAATTGGGACGTTCAACATCTCACAAGCGAGTGCTGGTAGAAAACCGCTCTTTGTGGGCTCACTTTCAAAAACCAAACGCTTCGCAAACACGAAGGACTCGCCCTTTGGCGTTCTGAGAAGGGCTGGCCTTGATCGCTGGCGGGCGCATACTCACTGTGGGCCTCCACCAGCTCGATCTGCATGTTGTAGGGCACCAGGGGATCCGGTAGCTCCGAGAAGAAGCTCTTCATGGCTCCAGCTACAGCATTCACAGTGAAATCCTTCTCAGCAAAGTCCAGGTTATGATCTGTGAGGAGAGGATTCGGGGGTTAGGCTGGTCTATCGTGCCTGCTCGGAGAACTGCAAAGAAGCGGGAAAATCCCCAGCTAAAACTTCAGCTGTTCTTGAAATATCAGCCAGATGGTCGTGGATGGAAACTAAACCAACATTTATCTGCGGGAAGATATCTCCGCACCAGAACCTCCCCAAGTACAGGTAGTTCTCGACTTCCAAAGGTTCATTTAGTGACCGTTCATAAGTTACGTCACTGGAAAAAAATGACTTATGACTATTTTTCACATTTACGTCCACTGCAGCATCCTCCACGGTCAGATCGTCAAAATTTGGCAATTGGTTCATACCGATGAGGGTTGCAGCGTCCGGGGGGGGGGGTGTTTGACATGTGATCCCCTTTTGTGATCTTCTGACAAGCAAAGTCAGTGGGGAAGCCAGATTCACTTAACAACCGGGTTATTAACTTAACTGCAGTGATTCATTTAACAACTGCGGCAAGAAAGGTTGTAAAATGGGGCAGAATTCACTTAACAACTGTCTTGCTTAGCAACAGAGGTTTCGGGCTCAATTGTGGCCGTTTGTCGAGGACTACCTGTATTATGATCCTGCTGGGAGAGAAGCAATTGATTGTCCCCCCACTTTGGAGCAGTGTTTTTCCCTAAGGACAGGGGTAGGCAACCTTGGCTCTTTTATGACTCATGGACTTCAACTCCCAGAATTCCTGAGCCAGCTGGCTCAGGAATTCTGGGAATTGAAGTCCACGAGTCATAAAAGAGGCAAGGTTGCCTACCTCTGCCTAAGGGGGCTGACCCTCTGGAATGACCTCCCAACGGACGTGCATTGGGTCTCCGTCTTGGGTGGCCTTCCAGAAAAAGTTAAAAACAAGAGTCTCCACCCTCACCCCAAAAGCCGTCACCCCGCTAACGACTGCACCCCTAAACCGCTTCCCCTGTCTCAAGCAGAAGCACGGAGGCCGGGTCGTACCTTGGTCAAATTGCCGCTGTAAACTTTCCATTTCAGATTTGTTTCCACTCACCCGGTAGATCCCTTCGGTACTCAACCCTGATGGGGAGGAGACAGGAGAGGAAGGAGAGAAGAAGATTAGAGCAGAGCAAAAGTGCAAATCTGAAGATAACCTTACCAGGGAAGAAATATTTTATGGAAGACTGAGCAGAGAAGCCTTCTGCCCGGAAAATGGCGGCACAGAGATGCAAGCCGTGATTTCATTCCTTCTAGCACCGATGAGGTTACCTAGTTTGGTAATGAAAGGTCTGCAAGAAAGCAACCAAGCTCAAAGAGCATCAAAGAGCCCACGGGCTTTCCCAACCTCCTCCTCCTCCTCCTCCTCCTCCTCCTCCTCCTCCTCTCTACATACTCTCTCTCTTCTAGAACATACTTGGGTCATGAAACATCTGAAAGAATACAACCAAGCTCAGACAGCACCCAGGACCCCACTGTCCTCGTCCTCCTCCTCCTCCTCCCTTTTAGCACTGATAAGATTACCTAGTTGGGTAATGAAACGTCTGCAAGAAAACAACATAGCTCAGAGAGGACCCTACAAGTCACAATACTGAGGAAAATGTGATTTTGTATTAAATTTGCACTCCGTTCCACTTTCAAAGTATCGAGAGAAATGAGTGGCCATTAGTGTCCCTTCCTTCCTTCCTTCCTTCCTTCCTTCCTTCCTTCCTTCCTTCCTTCCTTCCTTCCTTCCTTCCTTCCACTAAAGCTCTCTTAAATTGGTAAAAAGGCAGAAAGAGCTCCGGAGCAAATAAACTAGCAGCGGAGGTGATAACTAGAAAAACAAACTGAAGTAGAAACGGCTGATGAATAACCTCCTGCCTTTCTGCTTTCTGTATCACATCTATCCGTGTGGTTGGAACCGTTTATATTATACCTTTGTGGTGGATTTTAATTGCTCCGAGATGCTGTGGGGAGATAATGATAGCTAAAAGTATAATTACTAGAACCCTGCATTAACCTCACGCCCCTGCAGAAATGTGTTGAAATTATATTTCCTAATTACAAAGAGCTATAAATGACCTGCAATGAATGGCTAAGGCATTTTTTTTTGCAAATTTGGGGGGGGAGAGGAGAGGGTGGTATAAATGAACCACCTGATCACCACACATATCAAAAACTGGGATCATCCACTGCACAAATGCTAAAAAATGCTCTAAGTCCACCAACTCCTTTTATGGTGACTCTGTGATTATAGACAGTCCTCAACTTACGACCATTGGTTTGGTGACCGTTCAAAGTTACAACGGCACTAGAAAAAGTGACTTATGACCGGTTTTCACATTTACAACCTTTGCAGCATCCCCGTGGTTACACAATGAAAATTCAGACGCTTGGCAACTGGCATGTACTTTTGACGGTTTGCAGAGTCCTGGGGGTCATGTGATCACCATTTGTAACCTTCCCAGCTGGTTTCCGACAGCAAAATCAACAGAGGAAGCCGGATTGACTTAATGACTGCATGATTCTCTCATAACCGCATAATCTGCTTAACGACTGTGGCAAAAAAAATCATGAAACGGGCAAAGCTCACTTAACGATGGCCTTGCTTAGCAACAGAAACTTTGGAGTCAATTGTGGTCGTAAGTTGAGGACTACCAATATATACTTCAATATGAGAGCATTTTCCTTCCAAAGAAAGAAACCAAACAACTTGACTCTGGTTTAAATCGCTGCAGCGAAAAAGCAATGTTTAGTAATATTTCCTGCAATCCACTTCCATGTTTATGTTATAAAATCCTGTTTTACACCCAATCCTTGTCACACACAGAACTAGGCAGGCGTTGTGTACTCAGAACAGTAGGTGAGCTATTACAATAGACCTGTTTTTGTGCCAAAACCAAGCTTCTTTGTTGACAGATACACATCTCATTCACAAGCAGGCAAAATAGAGGCCACTAAAGCTCGTGACCCATTCAGTGGCGATCCAAAACACTTACTGTACAAGAAACCTGGAATGTAACTTCCCACGGTTTAATTTGGGCTTAAAAATTAAGCATCGTAAAATTTCCCTTTACACTACAAGTCATCCTTGACTTACAACCACAACTGAGCCCAACATTTCTGTGGCTAAGCAAGTGACATTTGTGAAGCGAGTTTTGCCCCATTTTACGACTTTTCTTGCCCCAGTTGATAAATGAATCCCTGCAGTTTTCAAGTGAGTAACATGGTTGTTCAGTCAAGCTGGCTTCCCCACTGACTTTGCTTGTCAGAAGGTCACAAAAGGCAATCATGCAACCGTCATAAATGTGAGTCAGCTGCCAAGTGTTTGAATTTCGATCACCTGACCACAGGGATGCTGCTGCAATGGTCATCGGGGTGAAAAGTGGTCCTAAGCCACTTTTTTTTTTTTTTTAGTGCTGTTGTAACTTTGAACGGTCACTAAACGAATGGTTGTAAGTCGAGGACCACCTGTACGGGAACAAAGCAGCAGTGGAGCAAGAGGGGAGGGAAAGTAATCCCTTTCCTTCCCTAACATCTTTGTCCACATCCACTCGAGAGTCTCAACAGCGTCACGGATCATTTTTAAGGCGGCATCCTTTGAAGCTTATGCCTTGCTTGGGTCGTATTTGTGGAGGCCGTTAAGGCAAACCGAATGGGGTTCTGTGACCCAGGAGGACGGACGGAGGCCTTCTTACATGCGGGCCGATCCCCGGTGGCTTCCTGTAAGCAGCCCACACGCTCCATTCATCAGTCATGCCCAGAGCAAAGTTGTAGCAGGGCAGCTAATGGCCTTCCGCTAGTGGAAGACACAAATATAATAATGCCTCTTGGAACTAAGGCCTTCCTTTTTTTCCCACTGCCCTTTGATGCAACAGAGAAGCCCATAGTGTCCAATCGAGTTACTCCATCGCACACGGTCGTTTCCAGAATGGGACAATTGTGAGAAGCTGGAAATTATGCAGCAACGCCTCCCCGTCCTTCCTGAAGGCAGCAAACAGTCTCCAAATATAGCTGCCGCTCCGTGATGGAAGGACAATTGTTTTGCTGTATATGCAAATTAACAGCCAGCCTAAATGAGGGGAAAGAGGCAGGACTAGGAAGTTTTCAATGCATTTTGAAAACACCTGAAGGCAGAGCAAGAAGTAACGGATGGAAGCTGACCAAAGACAGAACCAACCTAGAACTAAGGAGGAATTTGTGAGAACAATTAATCAGTGGAACGACCTGCCTCCAGAATTTGTGGGTACTCCCATCACTGGAGGTTTTTAAAAAGAGATTGGACATCCATTTGTCTGCAACGCTATAGGGTCTTCTGCATGAGCAGGGGGTTGGACTAGAAGACCTCCGAGGCCCCTTCTGTTATTCCATTATAATGTGAACGGCAGAAAACATTCAAAAGCAAACACATAGTAATCATCTGTTTTTAAAAAATCTAACAAATCTGCACGTTTCTGTTCAAATCTTATCTCAGTTGTTGCTCAGCTCTTCGCTTACCATTCCATAAAATGGGAATAGTACCAGCTGAAGTATGGCTGTAAAACAGCTTATCCCAATCAGGTAGGCTCGATCTCAACAAACAAAATTCTCAGCTAGCAAAAACTCAAGGATGCAAGCTAGCTTATTCTCAAAGTATATATTTATAACCTGCTCTTTTCCAAATCATGTCTTTCAAGGAACTTTTGCCTAAATATGGCAATAAACTGCACCAAAAATCTGTGTTTTTCTGTAAACATTTCATTTTTGAAAGCAGATAATCAGCCTTTCAACACGCTGTTCGATGTCCACACTATATTTAGCACTCTTCTTGCAGTGTTAGAAAATATTAAAAATATTCCTGCAAAAAAATCAAAATGTCTAATTGATCCAAGCTTATAACTAAATTAGAAACATGTTAAGGTGCCATTTGCTATCAATGATGTCAGCACAAACAAAATTTGCTTTTGCTCAAATCTGTGTGAAAAATGTGATTAGTATGAAAGTGGAGAATAGCAGAAATGCATTTAGCTTACATCACAAGCGATATTTTGGGCCTCTTGAAAGTCTGGTAAACTTATAGTCATCTCAGTGGGGGGGAATGATTTAAATGCATTAAATATCTCATAGATTGTATTATAAAGGAAACAAATTATGCTCAAGTACAATGATTGAAATATTTTAAAATATGCAATATGACAATATATATGGCTTTCTCCCCAATTTATTCAATCAATAACAAGACAAGCTAATTTTCAGTTAGTGATCAGTGAAAAGGCAGTTATTTTTCTTTCCCATTGAAGTTTATAGACTCCCTGAAATCTGATCTTGGTTAAAACGCTTGGCCTGCATTGTCACCTAGAACAGTGTTTCTCAACTCTGACCACTTTAAGACCTGTGGACTTTAACTCCCAGAATTCCCCAGCCAGCCATAGTGGCTGGGGAATTCTGGGAGTTGGCACCCACAGGTCTTAAAGCGGTCAACGTTAAGAAACACTGTCCTAGAAGGCAAACTTTGTATGGGTATTAGAGAGATTTTTACATAACCTCTACAATACAATTGCACCATCCAACTGATAGTTGTCACTCTTAAAAGACAAATGGCTAAATTCTAAAACAATCCTTCCGCAGAACCACCTAGATTTTGTTTTCCTTCCAGGGTGCAATTTCTTAAGTGAAAACAACCATATTGAAGCAATTCTTAAAACTCTGCAAATCTCCTGATTTTCTTTCTTTCTTTTTAAAATCTGTGCCATGGTATCCATTCTTGCATTACCACATTCCAAGTCAATTACATCAGCTGGCTGAAATTCTGATGGGGCCCTCACAGAAGTGCCAGCTTCTTTTCTGATGTCAACAGCTCTTGCCGATTCTGGGCCGATGTGGCGCTATCGGTCTACCCCTAAGCGCTACTGTTCTTTTATTTTCATCCTAACCGATCAGGGAAGCCACATAAAACGTGAAGGTTGTCGAGGACTGGGAAAAACCAACGTCTCAAGATCGCCCTGGGCCCGTCAGCCTGATTGTTATCCTCTGTGTCCTGCTATCAAGTATCAAAAATTCCTCGAGGTTCAAATTCACATTCGGAGAGCTGCACACGCATCTCTTTTGCAACGTGTGGGTAGCATCACAGGGGCAGAGCAGTTGTCAAATACAATAGATGAGCTAAGAATCGGATCGACTCCAAGACAGCTAAGAGGTTATACTTTTAAATCTGTACTGTCTCTTAGCTGAAACCAGCTCCCAAACTGTTACACCTAACGGTCCTTTACAGGTGTATATGTGCCAAGGTGTAACACTGTCCTTTAAAGGTGTTCATGCCAAGTTGCAAGGCAAGGATGAAAGGGTGAAGTTCAGTTGTGGGTTTCATTATTCTGGCGTCCTAATGAAGAACAGAGGCCTAGGTCTGTGCATGGCTGGCCAAATGAATGTTTCTAGACTAGGGTTTCTCAGCCCTGGCAACTTGAAGACCTGTGGACTCCAACTTCCAGCATTCCCCAGCCAGCTATGGGGTTTGAAAGTCGCCCGTTCAATTTTCTCCATGCCATTCTTTACTGCAGCCCAAGCTTTCTATGGCACGACAGAAGGCTGAATTCCACTTGCGTTGCCAAGTTCTCCAAGACATTTGCAGATGGTAACCATGTGAACTCTAGAAGATTGCTTTGAAAAATACCTCAATGTTTCCTTTGTTTAACTAAGCCCAAACTCACCATGTTGAGTCATGGTCATCATACTAAGTAATGCTTGATGGAGCCAACCACTCTAGTAAAATTCCTCTTTTATTTCGGGGGAAAAAAAGGACCCCACTAGACTAATTCCACGCACGCTACATTTTTACTTTTTCATTTCCTACTTCCTATTCTGTCTAACTTTGAAGACAATTTTTCAATATCTCATAATCCAGACTCAGTTCAACCGATATATTTTCATTACATCTCCTCTAATACAGTTAGAGATGTGTTTTCTTTTGTTTTGTTTTGAAAAAGTGGAAAATAAATATTTTGACACTCTTGCTTATTTTCAATCGGTAAAATGAAACATGTTAGCTATGCAATCACATAATCTTTGGCTTGTAAAATACATATCTGAATCTCTTTTCGTTCTTTCCAAAAATATTCTCTGTGTTAAATTATACGCGTACTGTAATCTCGGGGTTTATTAGCATTAAGGAAATAACATCACGGATGACTGTTTTATTGGTTTATAATCCATTCTGTGTGAATTTAATATTTAAATCGTGTAGTATTACCTTCGTACGAGGAAGGAGCTTGTATGAATGTGGCCCTCTTCAAGCACTTTTTACAGCTGATGAGACCAAGGCCGATTTCCTATTTGCTATAAAATCCACCTGATGCAAGCTAAGGAGATGCAACAAGAGAAGGCTGGAGCCCGGCCCAGAACAGAGTGAGATTGCTGATAATGTTATTATTTCCCCTTGAGAAGCAGACCTCTTCCCCAGCCACCCATCCCAGGGCCCTATCAAGTGGTTTTTGAATACTTTTGTGAAGTGGGAGAGAGGCCTTTGCCCAATGGCACAAAAGACGGGTTATCGAAAAACAGAATTCCACTGGGCATATGGAGAGGTGGGCGCACTGCAGGTCGTCCTCAAGTTACAACCATTTGTTTAGCGACCGTTCAAAGTTACAGCAGCACTGAAAAAAAGGCACGTACGACTGTGTTGCACACTTATGACAGCATCCCCACGGTCACGTGATCAAAAATTTGGGCTCTTGGCAACCAGCATGCATTTACGACGGCTGCAGTGTCCCGGGGTCATGTGATCGCGTTTGGCGACTTTCTGAGAAGCCAAGTCAAGGGGGAAGCTGGATTCGCTTAACGACCAGGGATTCACTTAATAGCTGCGGCAAGAACAGTCGTAAAATGGGGCAAAATACACTTAACGACTTTGCTGGCTGGGAAATTCTGGAAGTTGAAGTCCACGAGTCTTAAAATTGCCAAGATTGAGGAAGCCTGCTCTACAGTAATCAGCCGGGGGAAGTGATGTACTACTTAGGCTTTAATCCTGCTTGTGAAATGTAGGTAGTCCTTGACTTACGACCACAATTGAGCCCAAAATTTATGTTGCTAAGTGAGACATTTCCCCCCATTTTACGACCTTTTTTTGCCACATTTGTTAAGTGAATCACTGCAGCTGTTAAATTAGTAGCACAGTTGTTAAATGAACCTGGCTTCCCCCGTTGATTTTGCTGGTCAGAAGTTATAGAAATAGAGTTAATAGTATAGACTTAAGGGGAAAGTAGGATACATTAAAATAGTAATAGATTATTCATACGTATAACTGAGTTAATTATATTGAAACAATTTGAATTGTATAAGTATGATTTTGTTTTGATTAATTGATGGCCTTGCCACCATGTTAAATAAAAACCAATAAAAATTTTGTTGGGGAAAAAAAAAAAAGAAGAAGTTTTCAAAAGAGGATCACGTGACTCTGGGACACTGCGACCGTCATAAATGTGAGTCAGTTGCCAAGCATTTGAATGCAAATCACGTGACCGTGGGGATGCTTCAATGGTCATAAGTGTGAAAAGTGGTCGTAAGTCTTTTTTTTCCAGTTCTGTTGTAACTTCAAACAGTCACTATATGAGGACTGCCTCTCCTCACTCTCAGTCCGTCTTTATTTCCTGCTGGTGGGAACAGAACACTAAAAAAAAATGTGTGTTAAATATGTTTATACCCCCAACAGCACAGAACCAGAATGCCTGCTGTGTTGTTTGGTTTCCCCCAAGAACACCCGAGTTCTTAGCAGCCACCAAAAGGATCTGCAGCCTTGCTTTTAAAGCTGGCGGATGAGCAAACCAGAACTTCACTCAGGATCGAATGAGCGATTTCAACAAATGGCCCCTCAGAGCCACAAGCAAATATTACTCCTGCCCCAAAATGAAGGCAGCCAAGACCTGTCCTCGTCAGGAGCCAGGGAGGACCGGGCTAAAAGGCAAAACAAACGTCTCAGTCCAAATAACTAACCTGAAATTCTTATTTTCACTAGAAATAAGAGCAAATATTCCGCAGCCAAAAGTCGGTGTTGCGATTTTACCCCGAGGGTTTGCCAAGCATTTATCCTGAGGGGATACGCATATGCAAGGATCTCTTTTAAGGCTTCCAGATCAACCTGGCTAATAGTTAAATAATTAAGCAGCTGGCAGATGTTATCCAATTTCACCCACTGTAGCTGCAAGGGATAAAAAGATTCATATTCTGTTTGAACCTCCAGAGTTAGACACTGCTGTCAATTATTGATGCAGTAAAGGGGAAAGCTGATAAGGAATGAAGTTTGGAAGACTGTCACTTAGATGGGAGAGGCCTTAAAAATTTGTTTAAGCCTTCACAAAAAAGTAGCAAGTCCATGTTGATTCATGGGTTCCGAGAGCCAAGTGCGAAAGATTTAACTATAATAAATATTTGAATTGCATATGTGTTTATTGATTATAAGTATATTTATTTCATGTAATAAATACAGATGAATGGCCCCCTCTCTTCTCCAAAGAGTTTTGTACATAAACATAAAAAGAGCTTTCTAAATGCATGACACACCAGTAAGCATCAGCAAAGAAACAGGCATAGTTGTGATGCGAGACACAGCCACCTAAAATTCTTCCGTCGGTTCAAAGGTTATCTCTACATAATTAACCAAGGGAAAGACAGATGGCAGCAATACCTGCAGAAGACTTTGAAGCCCACGTTCAAATCCTACCAGAATACATAATGCCTTCCAAGCAGTTTTAGCTTAAACTGAATTCAATAGTTAGGTGGACAAATCATTTTGGGTTTCCTAACCAGCGTGCTCGGACTTTCGGATTTATTCCCGTCCTGAATTCATTTTTTATTTCTTCTGCTTAGGCAGACGTGGATGGCCCAGTGGTTTCTGTTTAATAATGTGTTATTTGCTCACAGGTTCCAAGACAAAGCATTATTTAAAAAAAACCCTTTATTTTGCTCCATCCCTTGAGTCTGTCAGAGCAAAGGTCTCCAACCTTCCTCGGTTGGCGGGCCGGAGAGAAAGGGGGAGAGAAGCATTTTACATGCATGTGCGTGCACGCAAACAGGGCCGCGACCACGCGTGACGCAAATGGGGCGGTGCTAGCGCCCACATAACACTCACTAGCAGGGTCAGATTATCTCTAACCAGGAGTGGAGAGGCTGTGGCCCCCAATTCCCCTCTTTGTACCCCTCAGAGCACCTCTGTCTAGGATTACAAAAGCCAACAGTGGTTTCCCTTCATTATAATGAACGAAATAGATGAAAACTGAAATGCGTGTCTCATAATAGACATCAACAAAGGAGGATATTTGTAGCTCAGGGTAAAAGGCAGGGTCCTGGATGCTCTCTGAACTTGGATGTTTTCTTCCAAACATTTCATTATACAAACTAATAACGTTATCAGTACTAGAAGGGGCGTGTTAACCTAGCACTGATGGTGTTACCTAGTTTGGGTAATGAAACGTCTGCAAGAAAACAACCCAGCTCAGAGAGCATCAAGGACCTGCCATTAAAACAGGTATATCACATTTTTTTAAAAAGAGGGAAACCCCAAATTATGCCAGACCCAGCTGTGCCCACCTAAGCAATGTGGCTCCGCCACTCTGTGGCTGCCACTCCCCTTAAGCACCAACTTTAACCCCTTTAAAACATTCCCTTCCTGCTTACCTGTTGCTTCAATGTATTCAATGCATCTCTCAATAAAAATGGGAATGGGCTTCTCTGGGGTCACTACAGTGGTCAAAGGCACCCCAAAATAGTTGCTCTCCCATGTAGTCTTTGTGATTGATGGTCGAGGCTTAGGCTTTGGTTTCTGTAGAAAACAATTAATCTGAGTTAGTATGGCCAGGAATGAAAGGAAGGAAGGAAGGAAGGAAGGAAGGAAGGAAGGAAGGAAGGAAGGAAGGAAGGAAGGAAGGAAGGAAGGGAGGGAAGGAAGGAAGGAAGGAAGGGAAGGAAGGAAGGAAGGAAGGAAGTCTATTTTATTGCCTAAAAATGCCAGCCCCAGATTTCACTTAAAAACCTTATATCTGATTAGACAAATGGAATCTATATATCTGAAAGCAGAAGTTGCTGTTAAATCATATTAGGTGTAAGTTATGCTTGCAATATGGAAATCCAGTTCAGTGTAGTGGTTAAGGTGCTGGTCTAGTAATCAGGAGACGATGAGTTCTAGTCCCATCTTAGCCATGAATTTGGCTGGATGTCTTTAGGACAATCATCAGGAGGCAATGAGTTCTAGTTCCGCCTTAGGCATGACTGTCAGTTGTATGACTTTGGGTCAATCACCAGGAGGAGGTGAGTTCTAGTCCCAACTTAGGCTTAAAAGCTGGCTGGAAGACTTTGGGCCAATCACCAGGAGACAATGAGTTCTAGTCCCACCTTAGTTATAAAAGCCAACTGGGTGACTTTGTGCCAATCACCGGGACACTCTGCGTTCTAGTCCCACCTTAGGCACGAGAGCAACTAGGTGACTTTGGGCCAGTTACTCTCTCTCAGCCCAACCTACCTTACAAGACTGTTGTTATGGGGAAATTTGGAATAGAAAGGAATATTATGTATATTCGCCACCTTGAGTTAATATAAAGTAATAAAAGTGGCATAAAAATCTAATAAATAAATAAAGGATACATAAATGTGATACGAGAGCCACTGTACAGCAGTGGGGAAGATGTCAGACTAGGTGCAGGGCCACCCAGATTCCAAACTATCCTTAGCCAAGGAATCTCTCTGGTATCTTTGGGTCAGCCACTCTCAGCCCATCCTGCCCCAGCAAGCTCGTGGGGGGGGGGAGAATGGGGAGGGGGGAAAGGAGCTGTCCCTATGTCACCATGAGCTCTTGAAGGCAGGAATTAAACCAATAAATAATACCAGTTGGAAAATGTTATATAAAAAGCGGAAAACCATTCAAGGGATATGTCACAACACAAGCCACAAGAAAAATAGGCTCAGCACAACCAAAATAATTATGAACATATTTATACGCTGAGTGACAGAGAATTCAAAACAGCGGCAAGCGTCAGAGACAGCAAAAGCCAACGAGAAAGATTCTGTTCTGCTTCCTCCAGATTAAGGTAATACGAAGCAGATCACACACGATTTGTTTAGAAAACAATGCTGGGAAAGGTATTCTGTAGCTGAAATAAGGTTGGCTGAGGCTGAAACGCCAAGACGAGCTTAGAACAACCATGAAGAAGATTCACACAGGATGGAAATGAGCAGCAGAGGACTGCTGACCACTGAACTATGAACTACAGGTAGTCCTCGGCTTACAGTAGTCCATTTAGTGACCATTCGAAGTTACAACAGCACTGAAAAAAGTGACTTATGACCGATTTTCACACATTGCAGCATCCCTGTGGTCACGTGATCAAAATTTGGCCACTTGGCAACTGGCATGTATTAATGATGGTTGCAGCGTCCCGGGAGGGGTCACACGATCCCCTTTTGCGACCTTCTGACCAGCAAAGTCAATGGGGGAAGCCAGATTCACTTAACAACCATGTCGCTAACTGAACAACTGCAGGGATTCCCTTAACAATTATGGCAGGAAAGGTCATGAAATGGACAACATTCACTTAACAAACGTTTCACTTAGCAATGGAAATTTTGGGCTCGATTGCGGTCGTAACTCGAGGACTACCTGTACAGAGAAGAAAGCAAATGGAAATAACCACAGATCAGGGACTGCATGAGAGAAGGATTAAGTTCCCCAAACTGGAATCCTGATCTAAGCCTCTCTTTCAAATAAGGAAGGAAGGAAGGAAGGAAGGAAGGAAGGAAGGAAGGAAGGAAGGAAGGAAGGAAGGAAGGAAGGAAGGAAGGAAGGAAGGAAGGAAGGAAGGAAGGAAGAAAGAAAGAAAGATGAAATACCAATCCTTGAGGACATCTCCTGAACCTTGTGGCCCCAGGAAATTTCTCACCCTCTCCATTGTCTATTTCCTGTTTAGTCTATTTCCATACAACTTCCTCTTCTAGAGTTCTGGTGACAGAAGGATATTTTGAACAATACTAGCTTGTAAGAACAAGGGGTGTGTGTGTGTGAGTGTCAAAAAAAAATTTCAGTCCACAGTGGAGAAAGAACGTCTCTGTACAAAGATATTTTAACAAGCAATTAAACCAGATAACCACAGCATAATAAAAGCTTAAATTCGATCCACGGGTAAATTCAGGTAGTCCTCAACTTACAACCATTCGTTTAGTGACCGTTTGAAGTTACAATGGCACTGAAAAAAGTGACTTCCGAACGTATTTCAGACTTACGACCGTTACAGTGTTCCCATGGTCACGTGATCAAAATTCGGATGTTTGGCAACTGGCTCAGAATTTTGACAGTTGCAGGGGTCTTTAGTCCTGTGATCCCCTTTTGCAACCCTTCTGACAAGAAGTCAATGGGGAAGCCAGATTCAGTTAACAGCCGTATTACTGACTTATCAACCGCAGTGATTCACTTAACAACTGTAGCAAGAAAGGTCATAAAATGGGGCAAAACTCACTTAGCAACCAAGATTTTGGACTCAACTGTGGTCATAAGCTGAGGGCTACTTGCAAACCACTCATCCGCCAAATTATAATTAAATGAAATGTGTTGGCTCAATCAGACTTAAAGTGGTCAGAAACTTACATTCAGGCAAAAAGACCAAGGGATATTTACAAAATCATACGCCGAAGTCCTGTGATAAATGTGTATTAAGTCTGAGTGTAACTTTTTTCCTTGTCTGCTCAACCTGGCAGGTTGTATGTCAAGATTAAACAAGGTGCACCGATTCACCTCTTAGAAAGATGCTTGTACTTGTGCTGTCCTACGCTGCTTGCACTACAGAGATTTAATGAGGAATAAATCCAAAAGGTAACAGAAGCAGCCATATATATTGCATCATGACTATAAAGCGACAATAAAAGGGAGCCAGCTGTTAAAAAGCCCTGGTGATTTACAATCAGCAGTTCAGCTATACAAACTAAAAGAGCAAAGTATTATTAGGTCTCAATCAGTGAAATGAGATGGAAAAGAGGAGAGAAACCTGCTCCTCCATCGAGACCAGATCTCCCTTATCCTGTCCGTGGCCAAAGGCTGACCAAGGGCCTTGTTCCAATGAAAAAAGGAGACACAGTACTTCAGCTGGAAAGGTTCTTAATTCTGCATATTCCAATTAGAAAAACAATGGTAAGTTATGGCTAGAAATAAAAGAGGACCACAAACAAGCTAGTTCTATTATGCAGGTGTTGTTTTTTTTTAAAAAATCTATTTTCTTTCAGATGCGAACCAATCTGAATAGTAAAATATTTGGGATTTTCAGTTAATTCCCTTAAGTAGATGTTTTATTTTGCATGTGGGGTTCCCACAGATATCTTGTTAGCCATTCTTAGCTAGATACAGCTTGTCATCTAGCAACACACTTCGATTTTTGCTAGATTGGTCTTGCCTAATCACTGCAGTGTGGTTTTTAAACACGGCTGGCAATATAACAGACTGGGCATGTTCAGTTGACTTGCCTCAGCAATGATCCAGACTAATTAATACTTGGGGATAATGAAATTTGTAAACTTTCTTAATTCTTTTATACAGATGGAATCGACGCAATCTTCAGTTTTTGAGTCCAACTCCATTAGGGTTCTCCTGTTATATTTAAATGGGCAAAGTACAGCGAATTCAGTCATTGTTTTCGTACAGAAGTGACTTCTCCCATATGCTGAATCAGCTCTTGAGCTTACAGCGCAGGAACGCAGATTAAAAAGCAAGTTGATTTATCATGAAAAAAATCAATGTGACAGAAGCAACTAGAAATCCATGACACAGTCAGTTGAGAACAGGCCTAATGAAGCAGCAAGGCAGTCCAGATTTAAATACCTACGCTGTATTAATTTTGCAATATGGCCGATAGCCATTAATTTGGCAAGCTGCCTGCATGCACATGGAAGAAAAAAGATGGACTATGGATAAACTACACCCCCACTTTTATAACACATTTCTATCTATCAGGGAAATAATCTCAAACCATGATTGGGCTCCACAAAAGGGTGAGAGTCGCACATCCCTAAAAGGTGTACAACGGCTAAAGAATAAATGAAGACTAACCTTGCATTTTAGAGATTTTGTTATGAGAGGCACAGCAGGGCAGTGGACACCCTCCACTCTGAAATCCACTGGCATACAGGTAGACCGGTTGCTTAGCCAGCGTCTGAATTTCCGATGGACCTACCTTGGCGCTACTTACACAGCCCGGTTTAAAGTTCTGGTGATCGTGTCCTTCCTGCGATCGCATGACTGAACTTCGGGCCCTTGGCAAAATGACTGCATTTATCCCACAGTCACACAATCGCATTTTACAATGGTCTTGCCGAAAACCAGCAATTTCTCCCAGAGTTTGGCAAAAGCACACCCACAGCGAACCACAGTGGCTGCTTTACAACTGTGACCGCCGTTTAACAACCGCCATGTTCATTAGGTAGTCCTTGACTTACAACAGCGGCACTGGAAAAAGTGACTTATGGCTGGGTTTCACAATCACGACCGTCGCAGCACCCCCAGGGTCCCATAATCAAAATCTGGGCGCCTGGCAATTGGCATGTAATTAGGACAGTTGCACTATCCAGGGGTCAAGTGATCGCCGTTTGTGACCTTCCCAGACGGCTTCTGACAAGCAAAGCCAATTGGGGGGGGGGGGCAGATTCGCTTAACAAGCCCATTATTCACTTAACTGCAGTGGTTCACTTAACAACTGTGGCAAAAAAGGTCGTAAAATAGGGCAAAACTCATTTAACAACTGCCTTGCTTAGCAACAAAATATTTTGGGCTCAATTGTGGTTGTAAGTCGAGGACTGCCTGTATCTGTATTTCGTAGGAAATTCTTTCAGATGGTTTAAACTTTCCCTTGCCCCAGAGTTGAAATCCCACCGGCTGAGGTTGGTCGTCTATCTGGGCACCCTCTGCCGATTAAGAGGCAGGTCAGCAACTATTTTATCTCCCACCCTGAATATATTCCAGCAAGCAGTTTTTATTTCCTTTTATTTCTTGATGGCAAGTTAGAATTTCTGCAAAGTACTGAAAGAGATCTCTTGGCTATTTCCTCTCTCTCTGGATTCCCGACTCTACTCTCTTCTATTTACTAACAGTTCAAACAGATGGGCTGGTACCAGAAGGAGCCTAGAGGGCTTTTTCCTGTCCCATAAAGGAATGGAAGAGTTAATAATATTCATACCCTTTCTCATCAAGGGTTCTTTTCCAATTAGAAGCTGTAAGATGCCATTGTAGACTGGGGGGGGGGGAAAGGAGGATTAGATTGTTGTTTCTGCTTTCAGTTTGCAATGCATGTAATTTTAAAGTAAAATATAGTTGTTGTTTTAAGTAGCAAGCTCTGAGTCATTATTTAAGCTTTTTCAAATAGAGGGTATTTTTTTTTTTAACAAAAAAAAATCTGGCTTGCCTTTGTGTCCCCCCCCCCCTTCCAGTAACACGGCTCTCCTGCCAATGCGGAGAAGTCCACCCTGCTGGCGGCAGGACAACTGCTGCAAGGATGAAATCACCACCGTTTTTTAAAGCAGCCACAGCATTGTTTTAGAGAGACCCCGGTCCTTCCGTGAAAGAAAGGAACCCTTTTCTGATGTCATTTCAAACTCTTCTTACAAAACGACAGATTAAGAAGAAGAAAAAAATCACCTGAGAAATGAAAACATATATATTGATGTTACAATCTGTCCTTTGGGGCGCATTTTTGATGTCGTATTACAAACCAGAACAGTAATGAATTTCCCAGAAAATGAGTTGAAACACGAAGCCCGTACTGTATACTTGACAACTAACTGTTCAAAATCCATTATTTTCAAAAGGGCCAGCTGCTTATTTGAAAATTGCTCTCTGAAGCTAGACTTAAAAAAAAGAGAGAGATGGAATCTTACACAGAAAAAAATAATGTACTAATATCTGATTAGAATGCTTTTCTTTTAATTCTGAACAGACACATAAACAGTATCTCTGATCAGAGATTACTGGAGCATTATTGCTGGCTACCTTCTCAGAATGCAAAGGGACAGAGTCTTAGGAGAATTTGTGTATCAGATTTGTGTCCCATCTTTCTGTGTAACTCAAGGCAGTGTAAATAATACTCCTTCCTGATGGGTACCTCCACAACAACCCAGAGAGGTGAGCTGGGCTGAGAGAAAGAGTGACTGATCCAAGGTCACCCAATGTCTCCTGAGTTCTAATCCAGCACCTTAATTTCTGTATCAAAATGCTGTCTTTAAATCAAAGCCTGAAAGTATTTGTTGCATCCTTTACATTTGTTCCTAGTGTTTCTCCAATACAGACGCTTCTGAAAAATAAATTGTCCAAATCTTACACAGAAATATAGCCCTCTATTCTCCAAGACTCCTAAAATACAGATACCCCTCTGTTCACACATCACAAACCGCTCCTAATTATTTTTCACGAACAGACAAACAACTGGATTACCAAACAATTGTATGACCCTCTAATGCAGGAGTGGGGAACGTGGCTGGCTCAGCAATTCTGGGAGTTGAAGCCCACAAGCCATAAAAGGGCCATCGTTTCCCACCTCTGCTCTAATGGCTGTCAAACCACGCAACTTGAAGTTAAGGACACTCACAGACGTACACACACACACACACAAACGTTACCTTGGTGGTCCTCCTCAAGCTACGCAAGATATTTCTTTTCCTGGGGTCTTCATCAGTAGTCTCGTAGGGAATTACAGCGTTATCTCCTTTATAGCCTTGGGACGTCTGATCCTCTTCTTTCTTCCTAATGGGCCCCAACTCATCATCGCTCCCTATACTGAAACTGGTCCTGAAACTGGCAAATCGCCCAAGTCTCGTGCATCGGGTTCGATACAGCACCGGTTTGCTAGTTAGCGACACCTTGCGCCCCCGCTCTAAGGAGCTGGTGTCCATTTCGCTGTCTGACCCGTTGCCGCTACCGTTGGACTGGGTTTTGTTGATGTTCCGAATGGTGATGATTTTGCCTTGGGTGCTGTCGTGAGGCACAGAGTAGATGTTCTCCTCCTCGTTCCTGGGTTTGACCACGGCGTCCATGGGTTCGGCATAATCCGAAGGGTCAAAGCCGTCGGTTGGTGGCCAGCTACTGGAGGAGACCGGTTTCCGTTGTCCGTCTCGGTGTCCTTGCTCCAAGTAAGCGAGATCTCCCTTGGTGATATCAAAATGGACAGCGGGCTTTGGTTTCACGGGTGGAGGTACTTTGTTGTTCAGTTTGCTTTCGAAAGTGCTCATCACAGAGAAGACCGAAAGCCCGTCGTTGCCCTCCAGTTCCATGGAGAGCTTGGAAAGGTCTTTGGACAAGGTGGCCATGGAGCCGTCGTCTCTGAAAGGGCTGTAGCTGGGAGGCTCAATGTCTTCTTCAGAATCCTGCAGGTTGGAGTTGCAAAGAGGGGAGCCGGCCCGGGGAGAGTTGAACACTTCTTCCGTGGTGCTGCAGGCTTCCGCCGCGTTGTCGTACATGTGGGTCGCCTCGATGATGTTCTTCCTCTCCACCACATCTTTGAAGAACAAGTGGAAAATCTCCAGCTTGTGTTGAGGCTGGCTGCAAGGCATGCTTGTGAATTTCCCTTCGATGTCCTGGGCGATTTCCTCCCCCTCCGTGAGCTGTTCTCGACTCAGATCGTTGTCTAGAACGTCGAGGGAGCCCTCCGTGAGCGCCACGATCTGAACGGGGATAATGTCCTGCACTTCGCAAAGAAAGGCACGCAACATAGCCAGAGATGCCTTGCGCTTGGCGGAGTAGAACAAAATGTAACCGTGGACCAGCCAGCTTTTGCGAATGCTAAAAGCGGAGTGGAAAGACAGCAAGGAGAGTTCTATGCGCCTCTTGTGGGGTCCGACGGGGTATTCAAGTAACACGGAATTGCTGCTTCCAGAAGGGGAGGGCCGGCAGGACTGGGACTGAAGAATGGGGAGAAGGATATCGTCAGCGTTAAAAGGATCTCCGCACAACAAGCACATGACGATCCGGAGGTCGATGTCGGCCAGGTCTTTAAGGCTTGCGGTTGAGCTCATCAGGTTTAAGTTGCGCTTTGAATCTAGCAGGCCTTTCAGGACTTGGCTGATCTGCTTTTCGTTAATGTTGCGCCCATATCCTATGCCGGTGGAAGCCGGGTCGAGGAACACGCACTGCAATTTACTCGCAATCTGTTGCCCTTGCTGTATTAAACTGTGTAGTGTTTCTCCACTGGTGTCCCCTCTCTTGTTCACCAGAATTAGGGTGAGGGGAAGGTGAGCTAGGTGATTGTCCCTTCGGCTGAGGGTGGACTCTCTACTCTTCTCGATGCTCTCCACAACGTAAGATAAAGATTCCTTAGAGTTATAAAGGCAGAGGCAGCCGTGGGGCTGGAAGGTTGGCGTCTGGAAAGAATTAACCGGGAGCCGGACGTTACCCTCGATGGGTCTCAAGGAGAGCTCGTACATTTTCCCGTCTATCACGTACTTGTCATCGTTCGTGCAAAGAGCTCGGATCTCATTGGCCAGCTCACGGGCAAGTCCATCTTTCCCAAGAATGACTAAGTTGATGCGGTCGATGTTGGAATCGGAAAGCAAGTTTTTCTGATTGCGATCCGAGGGCCTGATAAATCTGGAACTTATTAAGTGCTCTATTTTAGCATCTACGCAAGCCGGGCAGCTGGGACAAGTGTCCTTGGTGGGATGGTAGACGAAGTGAATATGTTTCAAGATCAGGGCGTCTCGTTCAGCCTGCAGTTTTTGCAACGCCTTAAATCTCTGCTCTTCCCCCAAGACGTCCTGGATGACCCCCATTTTTTCTTTGCTGGGCTTGGCATCGAGCTCCAACTCATAAAAGAGTTCTGAATACTCAAGGAGCAGTTCCTGGAAGTCTTCCTTGGCCTTCTCGATAATTTGTTTCTGGTGCCGACTGTAAATGTCCATGTACACAGATTCTTCTAGCCACATGTAGAAATCCTCGTTCATGATGAAACTGCGAGCTTCTTCCCAAGGTTTTCCAGGGGTTATGAAAGGGGACGTCTCCAGATTCTCTTTGAAAGCCCTTCTCATTTCTGCCCTCTTCCTCTCGTTCCTCAGCTTTTCCAGGTGGGTCTCGTAGAGCTGCTGGGCAGGCAAGGTGTCCATCACATCAAACGGAATGCGGTCGTTCTCCATGTTGTCGATGTGGCTGGTGGCATCCCAGGGCGTCTCCTCCAGCACTACAAACCACTTTAAGAAGTCTGGCTTGGTCTCCAGCAGCTTCTCCACTTTGATGCAACTCAAGTGGTTGATTTCATCCAGGTTTGGGATCAGGGCATCAAAGGCGAGAGGCAACATAGCCAGGTACATCTTTTTCCTCCGCTCGATATGCTCCTGCTTGAGGCGAAAGATGTGCTGCAGGAAAAGTTTCTTTGCTTTCTGGGTCCCTTCCAAGTAGACATAATCCTGATATTCCGGAGAGGATTGCATCTTTCGTGAGACGTTGGACCAAGTTTCGTTGTGGTTTTTAACAATACGGCTGACCAGCCACTCATACTTATCCTTCGCTGCAGCAATCTGTTGGCTCTGTTGTTTCAAAGCCTCGAAATACGGGATAATCTTAGTCTTTCCCCTGCTTTTGTCGATCAGCTGCACCAATGTGCTGAAAGCCAAGTCAACGTTCACGTTGGATCTGGCCGAGGTCTCCACCACCTGAAGGTTCTTTTTGCTGAAGACAAAAGTGTGCGCATCTCGAATGTACCGCTCCACCCCTTCGTCGCACTTCGTCAGGACCACCACCGTGGGCTTTTTCGTCTTGGTGAGTTGATTGTAGAGGTTGGAGACAAACTTGAGCTGCTCGTCAAAGTTCCTGTTCATGCCTCTGCTGACATCGATGCAGAGAAGAAAGCCGTCCACCAGCAGTTTCCCGTCGGGCATCTGCTTCTGCTCAAAGTCCTGCTCCAGGCCGAGCTGATCGGTGCAAAAGTACATGAGCTTTTCGGCGGAGGCCAGCTTGGTCGCCGCGGCCCTCTTGATGTAGGGCTGCAGGGCGGTGCTGCGGTGCGGCTGGAAAGTCTGGTCGTCAATAAATTCTGTCTGTTCCACAACGTGCATTTTACATTCCACGCAGTCCTCCAGAGAGCGCACCACTTCTCCCCAGTACAGGAAGTGGTCATTGTTAACCACCCGTCCTCCAAAGTCACTGGTGCTGAGAACGGAGGTATGGTCCAAGTGGAAGTCGTCTGCTCTCGGCCGCACAAACCGATTGCAGAGGCAGGACTTCCCGATGCCGCACTGGCCTTTCTCCTTCTCGGTCCCGGACAAACCCACCACACTGATGTTGTAGGTGGGAATGCGGACATCTTGCTTCCTTGCCATCATCATCGTCCAAACATCCTGTTCTGCGCAGGGCTGCTTCTTAGGCTATCAGGGTTCTCCTGGGCAACCTCAAAATGCTGAGGGGCACTACTGGCAGTTCAGATTAAGGACGATTAGCACAGCAAAGACAACTGTTCCCACTCTTGGTGGCCACCAGCAGCTCAGTTGTCACTGATCCTCACAACTGGATGCTCAGCATTTTTCCCTGAAAAAAAAGAGAAAAACAAGAAATGGATCAAGATGGTTGAAAATTTATTTTTTTATTTTATTATTTATTGGTATCCTGCATTTATTATTTTTACAAGTCGCTCAAGGCAGCGAACATATCCAACACACCTTCCTCCTCCTATTTTCCCCACAACAACAACCCTGTGAGGTGGGCTGGGCTGAGAGAGAGGGACTGGCCCAAAGTCATCCAGTTGGCTTTTGCGCCTAAGGCAGGACTAGAACTCACAGTCTCCTGCTGACTGGCCCAAGGTCACCCAGCTGGGTTTCGTACCTAAGGTGGGACTAGAACTCACCATCTCCCACTTTCTAGCCTGGTGCCTTAACCACTGGACCAAACCTTCATACAAATCAAAAAGTAAATCATTAAAACACACAGGTTTTAAAAGTATTGAAATAAAATAGTTCCTTCAAGCTAACTTGCAGGCTGTGTCTTAAAACAGCGTTTCCCCAACCTCTCCAGGTTGGTGACCTGGTATGTGTGGTGAGGGGGGGGGAGAGGGGTGGTTTTGTGTGAGGAGTAGCACAGCTTCGTTTGTGCGAGCGGCAGGCATGGGTGTTTGTGCAAGTTGGGCTGTGCACGTGCTGGCACACCTCTCATGTGGCCTGGCTGCGAATAGGCCCCGGGCTGATAGTGGACCATGGCCCACAGCTTGGGGACCCCTGCCTTAAAAAATATGTGTGGAATCATCTCTCTCTCAGAGATTTGCCAAAAACCAACACAGGGTGTCCCAGATCTCCTTTACAGAAAAGAGGTCATGGATGGGGTCCCAAGCAACACCAGGAGGGGAGATGGGCCCTTGCAAGGGCCGTTCCTCCACCCTTTCCTTCCAGAAAAGAAACAGCTCGCTGTTACAGAGAGCACACAGGAGAGCCTGCATTTGAATAGTGTTTGACTAATGAGGCAGTTCTTTATCTTGTAAGCTGCTTCCAAGCCCCTGTCCCAGGAGTCAGAGTGGTGCCCACCCCACTTTTTTGCACCAGGGAAAAAAAGGAAGTGCTTTCTCTAGGAGACCCAACAGTGCGACATTCCAGAAGCGTCTTGTGTGTGCACACACATTCTTTTCTAGAGAGCCTGCCAAAGGGAAAGCTCAGCTCAACGACTGAGGAAGTTGTTTTGAGCTGGCCTTCTGTTTATTGATTCTTTTCTCTCTCTCTGGGAAGCCAAAGGAAAAAGTCCTGCCCACAACGCCACAAGTAAGTCCCGTTTCAACCCAGGGACAATGTTATGGAGGCAGCCACTGAGATTTAAAAAAGGGTTCTGTTAGCATGGACTGATGCAAATGCACCTTAATGTGGGTCCCTCGTAGTTTCTCCCCCTCTTCTGGAGATAGAGAAAGGGAAGCCGGCAGAGCATGGAATGGGAGGAAGAGGAAGACGACACCAATGAGAGTGGTACTTTTAAGGGGGAGCTATGGAGTCGCCTCTGCCAGGCATACAGGTAGTTCTCAACGTACAACCACAATTGAGCCCAAAATTTCTTTTGCTAAGTGAGACATTTGGGAAGTGAGTTTTGCCCCATTTTACGACTTTTCTTCCCTCAGTTGATAAGTGAATCCCTGCAGTTGCTAAGTTAGTAACTCGGTTGTTAAGTGAATCTGGCTTCCCCATTGACTCTGCTTGTCAGGTGGTCGCACAAAAGGGGATCACGTGACCTTTGGACACAGCAATGGTCATAAATACGAACCCGTTTCAAGTCTGGGTTTTCTTCCTTTAAAAGCTTTGAAACTCTTTGCCAAAATGTGATGAGTTTTGCAGTTTTAATACTTTTCCACTGAAAATTTGGGGGTTAGCAGGTCCTTGGGTCTTTGAGCCTGTTTTTTTGCTGGCAGATTCAACAGACTGTATTTCCAAAGCACTAGAAACACTTCCTTAAAGGAGAACAATTGCACATACACACACACACACACAGGGAACTCCACTTCCACATTTTCCCGAAACAAGACATTCATTAAAGGAACTGTCTAAATAAGTCTACCTTACAAAAGAATCACCCTTCTCACTCACTAAGCAGACTGATCCACTAATGAAATGTTAGGTAGACAACTATGTGAGTCAGCTTCATAGATGGGCTTATCCTGCAGTTAAATATTAATTTCACTGGAAGAGAATGCCGTGGTGAAATGTGGACTAGAAATGAAGAGATCCAGGTTCTCCACCACAAAAGTTCCAGAGGTTGGAGCTTAAGGCAGTCTTGCTTTCTCCACCCAACCTACTCAAAAAGTGGCTTTTGTGGGCCTGAACTAAAGCAGGGGGTCTTCAAACTTGGCAACTTTAAGACTTGTGGGAGTTGAAGTCCACAAGTCTTAAAGTTGCCAAGTTTGGAAACCCTAAATTAAAAGAAGATTCTCGTAAGCTCTTGGGGAAAAAGATGAATATAAATCAAATAAATAAACCCAACAACATCACATCCTTAGAATTAGCTACATATCTGCTTTTCATGGGCAAGCTAGGGTGTAAAAGAAAGCTTACAGTTGTGCCCAATTTTATGCCTTTTGGCATGGTTGTTAAATGAAGCACTGAAGTTGTTAAGCGAATCACACAGTTGTTAAGTGAATCCGCCTTCTCCTATCAATTTGGCTTGTCAGGAGCCAGCTGGGAAGATTGAAAACGGCGATCATGACCCCAAGATGCTGCAACTGTTTGTTAATAGGTGCTACTTACCAAGCCCCTGAATTTTGATCACACTGACTGTGGGGATGCGGCAGCGGACGTAAGTGTGAGGACTGGTCATAAACCACTTTTTTTCAGTGCCATTTTAACTTTGAATGGTCACTGAACGAATGACTGTAAGTCGACATGTACAGTACCTGTAGAATTTAAAGTTCCCCAATTCAGCCCCTTCCAGAAGGCCTGGCTTACAAATGTCCTTCTCTTCTGAGTGAGCTTAACACATCTGGAGGGCACCAAGTTGGGGAACACGGGTATCATGTTTCTTCCTCCCTAATTACTGAATGGTTCATGTTTTTTGTTTTTAAGGTTCAGGAATGGCACGTTGTTCTCCTTGTGTAGAGAGAACAAAGTGGATTATTCTATTGTGCTAGGTTAACCGGAGCGTAGGTAGTAGTAATATAGAGGTTAATTAAAAAGCAGTAAGCAATTTGTCTCGGGCTCTAACCATTCTGAAACATATTAGGCGTGTTAATCTGGGGGGTGTACTCTAAAATAGATTTAATCTGTTACTTATGCTTTAAAAGGGGGGATTGGCAGCAGGATAACAAGGGTGGCCTCTAGAGTTATGACCAACGGTGGATTTTGAATCCGCAGTCAGTATATAATACCTTTTGCTCTGATCATTAAATAATGCTGCTTAACTAGTTCTTCATTCAGAATGGATTACGAAAGACAAAGGGGTGCTGTAAGTTTTTAATGCTATTGTACGTCTGAGTTAGAAAAAGAAGCCTGGAACATTTGATCCCAAGTACATTCAATTTTTCTAAGCGGTAGTTTAAAAATCAGCTGAGTCACCAGATAAAACATTCCGAACTCTTTAAAAAACTGGAAGGAGGAAGCTGGCACAGAGTAGAAATTCAACCCTGCTCTGAATCTGACCAAGAGTTTATCCCAAGCACAATTACACCTCAAAGGTAGCTGTTATTTTAACTGGTTCCAATCCCCACTGAGGAATTTCACATATCCAAAAGATAGGATGGATGGATGGACATACACACATGCACATACGTTTCAGTACTAAAAGAGTATCATGTTATGATTTTACTATCTCTGTACAACCAGCTTCCCGTTTAAATAATTTTAAAAAGCTATAAAGCTGCTGTGAAAGTGCTAGAAGTTTCCACATTACAAATGATACCCCTCTCTCCTTAAGGAAAAAGGCAGAATTGGGTTAGAAAAGATGTGGGAGACATTCTATTAAATGAAATAATAAAAATAACAGGGATATCATTTATCTAAAGGGGGGCAAATAAGTTCTCCAATTTGGAAAACTGCCAGTGAGCAATTCTCTGTTAAAACATTTGCAGGAGCTTAATGAAATTTTGTGGCATTTTTGGGCCTCAAACTTAGCAGATGTATTTTCTAAGCAAGAAAGTAGCATGATTATACTGTGTCAGCAAGTTTCCTACCAAGAAAACTGTTAAAATGGGGGGGGGGGGGGAATTGCAATCCAATTGTTCCAACATCTAATACCCATGAAACCAGCTAAAATCTGCTTTATCCCATCCTCATTCCTTTGACTCTACAGAGAATTTTCCTGACAGTATACGTTTTGCCATCCTTGCTGCTCTCCTCAATCTAGCATGTGTTTTACATAATGCCAGATAAAGAATTCAAGTTTCTATTACAGCAAATACAGAGGGCCTCTTTGTAAAACATGTTGTTTTACATACAAATTGCTTTTTGAGGATCCATGCATGAAAAGCAGGATTCAAGTGTAAAAAATACATTAGACAGGTAATATTGTAAGCCATTCATGGAGATGATAGTACATGGAGGATTTCTGTCTATCTCTATTGGAATCTTATCCCTCTCTTCCCCCTCCGCAGTATGGATTGGCCCTCACCAGCATCAAGAACTTCATCCCTATAACCACTTTAAGTTCTCAACATAGCAACTAAGCAACTCTGGAGAACCTTATGAGTAAAATACATCTACATATATATACTTAAGAGCAACTTTTTTCAAACTTTGGCAACTTTAAGATGTGTGGACCTCAACTGCCAGAATTCCCCACCCAGCATACCCTTTACAAATCAAAATGGATCAGGCTAAGCTAGGGATGCATGCCTCATCAGCTGTGATGGACAAGTTGCGGGCCCAACGGG